TATGCATCATCTTTAAATTGGCCATTATTGGTGATATCCAGTATAGTCCCATTCCAGCCTCAAATGTTCTGTGTCCAAAAAATGTAGGAGCTCATTGGAAATACACAGCTTCACTCCTATGTCTCTCTAATAGGGCAAGCATGTGTTTTGGCCCTAGGTAACTTTCATCTTTGTACCCCATCCTTATTCACACCTCAACTTTGGTCTTCATCACTATGCCATCATCAGATAAGGATGATGTGGCAGAGAGAAAGAGACAGAGACAGAGAGAGAAGTTATATGAACATTGCATAACCCAGGATTTGGGGCTTGGGGTCTTCCACCCATGTACTCTTCCCTAAGTGTGTTTAACCTGGTGTCTGGTCTCTTCTTTTGCTTTTCATTGTGAGTATTAGATTGATTTAATAAATCATGCTGTTTATCTTAATTTGGGCTGTAAGCATTTTCATTTTTGTTCTTCCATGATGGTAACTGGAGGCCAGCATTTCATCACGGTCATTTCCCATACAACAATACCGATAATAACAAAACTAATGGTATTTTAACAGATGACTATGAGCCTTCTATTGGCATGGTTGATATTTGTCAGAGTGTTTCTGAAAATTGATTTTGATAAATGTTTTGAAGACAGTTTAGTTTAAAAACTTAATGAAAAGTGATTGTAGTATTAGATATAGACCACAGAATTAAGTTATGTAAATTATCAAATTATTTCATGATACTTGCAAAGAACTATTATGTACATTTATACACATATACATATATAATATGAATGTATATGCGCATTTGTATATATGTTTATATGTGCATACATACCCACATATCTACGTGTAGATCTGTAAGTTCTCTGATTTTGATTCTAGCAAGAATTTAAAACTGTGAAAAGACAGGTGAAATTATTTCTCACCAAAATAAATTCAACTAACTTTTATTCAGGACCTGTTTGCCAGCCGCAGAATCAAAATCAAAATCGATGTCAGTTCAACTTTTTTTTTTGTCAGATATGTCAATATGCATCTACCTTTGCTATCAACTTTAGTTCACACCTTTTTGTTAAGGTGGTTACATGTTGTAAGAAATGCATAAATTTCTATTATAGAGCTAATTCAAGAAAATATGTATTTTCCCCCATCCGTGAGGAAAAGTAAAATCCCTTTTTACAGTTAATCATTGAAATAAATGCCATCACAAATCATATTGTGTACATTTATGATACACTTTCACTATAAATCTAAGTAAGGTAAGTAAAGTATTTGCACTAGATTTTGATTAGCAAGTTCAGCCTTAAAAGATCATTCGGTACAGTGTCAGCACATGAAATGATCTCTTGGTTCTACTTAAACCTCTCCCCCCCAATTGCTATCTATCCAAACATTAAAGATTCTGTATACACTTAAGTACATTAAGAATTCAGTATGTTACAGTTTAACTGTTTATAATTCCCCTGCAGCTTGAAAGTAGGTGTCCTTTCTCTTCCTTTGCCATGGGTACATCTGACTCAAACACAATCCCGTGTCTCTGATAGGAACCAGCAGCTAGCTCTGCGGTGTCCAATCTGCAGCGGAGCTCCGCCAGCCTTTGGCTAGTCACTTTATTTAAATACCGTTTTGTAGTGGGGCTGTAACACCCATAGTGGTTTCATTACAGAAATACAATGAAATCAGGTAGCAGAAATTCATGGAACTGATGAGCTTCCTTCCTAGTGGTGGCTAAAATTACTCTAGAGCAAACAAAATTGGACTGAGAGACACTGCCTGGAAGTCAATGGCTTCTTTCCTCAGGAACGCTTTGTTTTACAAACAGTGGAGGGTAGTTGTCAATTCAGAGGCGGCAGAGGGTAGGGGTGTATACTTAAGCCAGGCCACTGAAGTTCAAATCCTTACTGGGCAAGTCAGTTGTATGGGACCTTAGGCAAGCCGTGTAATTTCTCTGGGCTTTGGTTTCTCCATCTGTAAAATGGAAATAGTTCATATCTCATACCATTGCTAAGTATTGCTAAAACAAAACACAAAAAAACACCAAACAAAAAAAACAAACAACCCCCAAGAAACAAAAACCAGAGTTGGGGGGGCAACCTTGAGCTAAAGCTGCATTTCAGGCATGTTTTAATCAAAATGGAAACTTGAGGGGTCTTGGGCCAGGTTTTTTAAAGACCAAAAGTCAACTTAGTTCTCGGCCTGTGGTTTGTTCTTAGGATCATAAATAAGGTCACAGTCATGGACTTTGAACACTAAATCAGATGAGCTAACTTTTAACTTCTTCCACGTCATCTCAAAAGCTATTAGAAACATTTATTAGTAATTTCTTTTAAAGACAACTGCCCAGTTGGCAACCATTGTCTTTGGAATGAAAAATCAGATATTTAAAATTTATTGAACTATGATTTTATTATTAATTCTGTAAATTCAAAGAATGGTTATTATAATCCCTCCTGTGAGGTTTAGTTAACTTTTACATCTTTCTATGTTAATAATTTTATGAGTTATCTTACAGTGGTTTCAAATTATTTCATCAATCTTTGTCTTTGTTTTTAATTTATACAGTGGAATTTACTTGTTCATTGGTGTAAGTTTCAGTATCTTGCCAAACACTCTGTGGCAACTGAAAATACAAGTTGCTTATATGAGACTCTTCTGTTTGAGTGCAGGGCAACAAAAACAAATTATGCTGAAAACCCAACATCATTGAATTGTAGGCACTTACGTAACTAATTCAAAAATACTTTTATTTTCTGTAATTAAGAAGACAAATTTGACCTACATCTTTGGGAGGCAAATAATAGGGCAAAGCATATTTTATGACTAGAATAATTTTAAATTTCCCTGTATTATTACTTATGTTTTTTTAATCTCCCCAACTTGACCAAATGCTTTATATCCCATTCAGCCCATCTTGTTGCAGAACCCACATATATTAGAAGCTTGATCAATATTTATAGACCAATTTTATTATTCTTATGTGTTCAGATTATAGTTTAAAACTCAGGTTTATGAAGAAAAGTCCCATCAGTTTCCCAGAGTGTTGTGAAAACCTCTCCAGGTACTCTTGGTGATCCCATGTTCAAAGTGCACTGTCAGACATTGATGCTGCTCAGCCCCTGGGCGCGGCGGGGTGGGGGGGGGCAGCTGGAGCCCGTAGGCTAAGAGCTAAGAGCAGCTTTCTCTAGTGCCCCTGGGCAGCCCAAGCACAGCAGGATCTGAGAAGTGATGACGTGTCCTCTGGCAACAATGATATCAGGCTCTGCTGGTTGATGCTAGGTGTAGCCAATAACGTTTCTTACTGTCTAGACATCTATGTCGGCTACCGGCTGCACAACACACAGCATCCATAAGGGTGCTGAAGGAGGTATGGGAGGAGTTCACTTTGCAGGAGTCCAAGAAGCTCTGCCATAGTCCAAGTTGATAAGACACAGATCCCTTTCTCCATTCCTAATCTGTACATTCACGTGTACACATACTGTCCTCCTATTGTGGCTGCTATCTTTGTAACAGAATCCAATCCAGGTGCAGACCTGCAGTGAATGCCCATTCTGCAAATCAGAGCTTCAGCATATTGCTATGAAAAAGTCTGATTAGATTTGAGATCATTGGCATTATTACAAGAAAATTCAACATTACATTGTCTTGGACAGAAAAGAATGTTTAATTTCTTGAAATATAATTTCCAACCATGGTAAATTTTTGAATTGTTGTAAAAATGGTTTTTACAGGGGCGCCTGGATGGCTCAGTCGTTAAGCCTCTGCCTTCCGCTCAGGTCATGATCCCAGAGTCCTAGGATTGAGCCCCACATCGGGCTCCCTGCTTGGCTGGAAGCCTGCTTCTCCCTCTCCCTCTCCCACTCCCCCTGCTTGTGTTCCCTCTCTCGCTGTGTCTCTCTGTCAAATAAATAAAATCTTTTTAAAAAATGGTTTTTACATTTTTATATATCACTTTTTTGTTGATAGTGACTACCTAGAGATCAACTTTTTCATAAAAATATGAAATGATTTTACGTGGAATTTTATGCATATTTAATATTTAAATCACTTCTAATATTTTTCTATTTTTTTAACACATAGGTAATTGTAAAGAAAAGGCAGTTAAATGTTTACTAAACTCCAGGGAGCCATATCATTTTTTCTGTGACATAACTGGAAAATTTGGGGAAGCACCTTCCATTAGGGATTTTCGGTAATTCATAGGTGTTCAAGTTTCCTCAAAGTGTTTTCAAAACTGGGCAAGGACTTTTCTGCTGACTCTGTGTGGCATAAGGAGCACTCAGCTTCAAAGAACTTAGTCCGTTCTTCCAACTGTAAAATACTCTAATACCATTTCACAGGGTCCCATTTAATGGGGCCATGTGCAGTGTTTACACCCGAGTATGCACTAGACTGGAAAAGTGATCCACAGGCAGGCTCATTTCTGCCGGTTCACCCTCCATGTTAACTGCCTTGGACAAAGTAATCATCCAGCTGTCTTATTCCGTCTTCTGCAGTAAGACTTCACCTGAGCCTTCCTTCTTCCAGCCTGCGCTGCGGGCTGAGGGGCTGGTCTGGAGTAGCCGGCCAGCCCAGCCCGATCCTACTACACACTTTTCCCTTGCCTCTGGGCCACTTGCAAGCGCAACCAGCCGCCCAGGTCTCCAGGCTTTTCCGGGGAGGCCTCCCGCCCTCAGCCACGCGGGGTGGGTGCTGGGGGTGGTCTCGGAGACTTCTTGCGCTTTCCCTGCAGGTGTCCGGGAAGGTACAGGCACAGGCCAAAGCCGCAGTCCCACGTTTCTGCGAGGCGGGGCCGGCGCTCCCTGACCTCCTCCTCCCTCCAGGTTCTGCGCCCCCGGACTTGGCAGTGGCAGAAACCTGCTGAGCGTCCCAGCCTAGGGGGCGGGGAACTTGGACACCTGGGGCAGTCGTTCAGGGTCTGCTGCCACCTTCCCTTCCCCCAGCCTCCGCTGGGGATGTTTATCTTGCCCTGTGCTCCTTGCTGTTTTCTCTTTCACTTTTCTTTTCGCTGGGGGTTGGGACTCCCCTAGGGTCGGGGTGCCCAGGGGGAATCCCGGCTGACTCGCTCGTTGCAGTCGAAGCCCATCGCCAGGGAAGGGAGCCGGGTGGCCGCGCCCGTCCGGCTGCGCCGCTTGCCGCCCCCAGCCCTGCAGCCCGGACTCGATGGAGGTAGAGTTCGGCTTCTTCGCTCTGGGAGGGGAGGTGGTGGTGGTTGAAAAGGGGATGGAATTTTCCCCGAAAGTCTACACTTCGGGCCTCTCCCAGCTCCGGGCGGACCCACCCGTTTCCCGCCACCGGCTCGCCCCGCCCCGCCCTGCCCTCTCACGGGGAACACTTGACCACAACTTTAGTTTTCGGTTGCACTACGCACAGAGGTTTTTCCCCTTCTGACCCTTTATTCCTCCCATGCCCTTGGCTCGCCATCCTCCGCTTCTAGAGGTGCGCAGCTTGCTCGTCCGCTTGCGGGTCCAGCGCGGCTCCTCCGTGCGCTCGCGTCTTTCGGTGTTGCAGGCAGTGGAGTAGGGGGAGGCAGCGCCCGGCGCCGGGCTCTCCCCTCCGCTGACTCTGCAGCTGACCCGCGGAGAGCGAGAGACGTGCGTCTGGCTGCCCCCGCCAAGCTGCCGGTTTCGGAGAAGACGCCGTCTGGCAGCACGGAGCGCTGAGTTCTGCACCTAACCGAGCTCAGAGAGTTCAAGAAAGGTACCGCAGCTCCCCGCTTCTTCCCTGCCGCCTCCCAAACTCCCTGTCGGTGGGCGCAAGGGTGTGTAGGGCCCTGCGCGTCTGTGGCTACCTTTGTTTGCAAAACCGAGTTACCCTCCCCTTCTTGGATAAGGACCCTCGTCTTCCTAGGGAGAGGAACTTGCAGAAATGGTTACTGCTGAGCAATCAGGCCTGGGTCTATATTCTCAGTTCCAACCCTGGACAAGCCACTCATCTCTTAGAAAAGCGGTCTTAGTAACTTGGAAGAGATGCGGGAGACTTTAATTGCAATAAAACCCTTATCCAAGGTGGATTTAAATGAAAATCCGGTTTTTTTCCAACTGAGATTGCATTTTGCGAACGGATACAATTCATTTTAATTTATGTAATGCCGTGCATTTAAGATTTTGATAGCTTCAACGTAGCCATAAGCAAGGTTATTCTTAAACGATGCGTGTAACAGATTCTTAAATAGGGTGAGTCAGAAGTTTCAAAACTGGAAGTAAAGTGGTTGTCGCTAGCTGTTTTTCCATTATGTTTTTTAAAGCTACTTTCTAATGTTATGACACGGGTGATGACATCTACTTGTAACTGGTAGGCATCCTCCTCTTCTCGGTGTACCTAACGAGGTTTTACTGACTTGACTGAATGAACAGATTAGATCTGGGTGGTTGTGGCATCCTGCAGTGGGATGGCTGTGAGGGGGACTGTTCTACTGAAAGCAGCAAGGTGCAATATAGATTCAGTTTTTAAACTCCTGTTGTTTTATTGAAAAGCAGTGTGGTGGGCAAGGTAGACAGAGGAAGGTGGTACAAAGAAAAGAACATAAAGAGATGTAAAGGAAGGGACTGAAGAAAAAAAAGCAACAGGCTTCTTAGATTTAAAAAGTGATGAAGAATTTAAAATTTGATGTAATCAAGTTAAGAAGTCTCAGAAAGTTCTAAAGGTTTGTTATGATTGTGTTTAAAGTCACATTCTTCCATCTCTCCCTGTGTTTTCTCCTCTCAAAGTTTTAGTCGTACTCAGAATGGCCTTTCCTGCAGTATCATCTGCTCTGTGACAGAGTGACACAGAGGAGTTAGGTTGGTCACTGGTCCTGAAGCTCTAGTAGGCAGTGTTCCCATACTTTGTTTTTTAACTTCTTATTAATCTATTAATGTATGTATTATTTTTTATTAAGTAAGCTCTATACCCAATGTGGGGCTCGAAGTCAGTTCCCAAAGATCAAGAGTCACATGCTCTACTGACCGAACCAGCCAGGCGCCCCTTCCCATACTTTGGATTCACTCTTCTCTGACAGTCTGGAGTGGGAACTCCAGAACCTGGTTTGAAGTTGTAGTCCTGAAAATCCAGATTTTGGTGGGCTTAAAGAAAATGATTTGATGCTTTTTGTTTTCACCCATGAGATTCAGATATAAATGTCAGCAGCTCTATTGCAAGACATACTAGTTGTTAATGAAATACATGTTTATCAACTTCTTTGAAGGAAGGAGAAAATCAGTGGTTTAAAGTTTATTGAAACAGAGTTTGGTAATTGAAGGATTTTAAACCCCAGGAGGTTCTCCATCTCAGGTTTGCTGGCTCTGAATAGATTTCAGGAAGGCTATGATTGAAGCCCTGAAATGTTATGGATAAGTGGATTTTTCTTAGGAAAATATCGACAACTCTAATTAGGTTTTTAAGTGGGTCTTGAACCCCAAATAGTTTTAAAAACATCTTAAACTTAGAAAACTGTCCTTTTCTTCATTTATCTCTTAGAGTTTACTGTTAAGTTTGCTCTCTAGGTAGCTGTTCTTTAGAAGGTTAGTTAATGATAATACAGAGAGTTCTGTCTTTCTGCCAGCAACTTGAATTATGGGAAATAATATGAATTATAGCTAATACTTGTTGAGTTCTTATTATGTACTGGACGTTGTTCCAAGTATGTATTTTTAAAAATCATCATAATAAAGTTATGTTGTGGTAGGGACTGTATTATACTGCTGAGAAAATTGAAGCATAGGGTAATAAATAACTTTTCCAAAGTTACAGAACTAGTAAAGTGCTAGAACTGAGGATTTGAACCCAGACAGATTTAAGATCACGGGTATTTATGAAGAATGATATTTCCATATAAGTATTTCCCACAATTTGGCAGTGACAACTAACCACGACTTCATTTTGACGGACGCAGTGTTATAATGATAGAATGTTGGTTTTCAAGTAATACTGCTTATATAGTATTTGCATGATTGACATCAATCATTAATTATATATTTCAAGATTAGCTTTATGATCAACTAATATTCACATGAGTGTCCATATGTGTTTGATTCCTTGGAGAAACTTCTTTCATGGTTCCTGAATGAAAACATTAATTTGCATCAGTTTTTGCTGATAGGGCTTGGCATAGGTGCATGTGGATTGATCTATATGCTGAATTTATCCATCTCCCTGTCCATTCATCCATCCAAGTGGGAAGCTGGGGTTCATGGAGAGATCAGAACAGAAGCCTTTCCCATTATATCACAACTGAGGTGGTGTAGTCAACTATTTGAGAAGCTTTTTCAGAGGCTTTATGGTATGAGGGTTGGCAAGAGGCCAGCTGCTTTCCTTAGTTCAATACTAGCTCTTTGATTTACTTACACAGTGATTGCAGATTACTGCATGAGGCTATTGAGATTGAATAATGCTTAAGTGCTTGCTACTATCCTATTTGGATGGATTGAGTGGAAAAATTCCATAGGGAAGTTGGAAGAACCTTTGTTGTTTTAGCTAGTCCTGCAGTATATTCACTATTAGCTATTTAATGGTGAATTTTACTAATTATTATTATTATTATTATTTAAAGATTTTATTTATTTTTCAACAGAGAGAGAGACAGCGAGAAAAGGAACACAAGCAGGGGGAGTGGGAGAGGGAGAAGTAGTATTCCCGTGGAGCAGGGAGCCCGATGTGGGGCTCGATCCCAGGACCCTGGGATCCTGACCCGAGCAGAAGGCAGACGCTTAACAACTGAGCCACCCAGGCGCCCTTTATTAATTATTATTATATATTTATTATTTATTATTTTGCTTTATCTTTTTTTTTCCAAGTTCCTCAGTACTGGAATCAGATGTAGGAAATAAGAAGCTCTTTGGTCTCATTTCAATTCAGCAGTGCTATTCGTATTCATTTTATATCTGGAGGCAGGGTATATGTATACATATATTTTTCACTGTTTTATTCCACTGTGACTCTAGTAGTGTCTTGCAGGTCATTTTTGAAAGGACCAAAATATACATATATACATATATGTATATGCATATATATGTGTGTGTGTACAAAATGTATATTTTGTATATAGACCATATAAAAATGGATAAAAAAAGTCTGAATGTGTATTCGCTCATCATGTTCTAGTAATACATAGTTGCTTCTTCTCCTGATGCTAAAGTTTCTCCAAGTGCTAACAGACTGCAGAGGGGATCAGAAAAGTGACAGAAAGTATTTTGTTAAATAAAGGAATTGAAACTGAAAATGATCCTACAAGAAGAAAATATGTTGGTTGTAAAGTTGTGGGGGTGGGGGAGCTGTACTTATCACAGTGACACAGGAAAGAAGCCCTGTGATACATTCAATAATCCCTTGTATCATTTCATTCTCACTGGGCATTTTGCTTATATGCCTGCTAATAGAAATTCAAGAAATGAAATACCCCTTGGGCACTGTTAGCGCTGACCTACAAAATACTCAATTATTCTTTAATTCAACATTTTATAGTTAGAAAGTTTACAATGTTTTCCAACTTCCGTGTTCTTCTTACTCCTCTGCAACAAAAAGTATATACATTTAAATTTAATTTTTAAAATAATTTTGTTAAAATTATCCCTTATGTTATTTTAAATATTAGTACACAGGTAACCAAAGTAATTCATTAACTTTTGATAAGTAATTATGAGGCATAACACTAAACTATACTGGAAATGTATATCATAAATGTAGGTATGGGTAGTGTTGATATCAATGCTTTCCTGAAAGAAGTTTCTCTAATATCAGTTTTTCAAATTGCCCCTTTATTTGGCACCCTGGGGAGGCAAGACATATGGTGGGATTCTGAATGGGAGAGAGATGTGCCTTCCTTTGGTAAAATGGTTGAAGGGTAATTATGAAAGGGGAAGTGGGAAAGGAGAACTTGCCAGAAAATGCTTGCTGTTGGCACATTTCAGGCATATCACTTATAGAAAAGGGTTCCTATGGAAATATTGGATCTGGAAGTTGGTTCCTTTAGAACTCTCTATATCCATATAGCCCTTGGAAAGCTGTGGGGTTCCCCAGGGGTGCCTGTTGCTTACTTTGAAGATCTCTGATCTGGTTCAGCCTGTCGCCCGCCCTCCTAAGGTTGGTTTGTAGATTGCCAGGGCTCATTTTGCTTAAAACAGAGACTGTGTGTGTGTGTGTGTGTGTGTGTGTGTGTGCGTGTGGGTGTGGGGGGGGGAGGGGGAGAGGGGGGGGGGGGGGGGGAATAGCTTCCAGCCAGGCTTGGGGGCTTGGATAGCCTTCCCAGCCTGGGCTCCTCTTCCATGCTAGTTCCAGTCACACTTCTCTGTGCTCTAGACACACTTGCTATTCCTGCTCACTTCTTGTCATCCTTCCTGTGCCCTGCTGAAAGCATTCGACCTCCATAACTGTTGCTGCCCCTTTATACTGCCCAGGTGGAATTATTTTTTCCCTTATATGAATTTATTTGTTGCTGTGATAACTTTTGTCTCTGTAAGTTCATCTTATTATGTGTGTCTCTACAGTCACATTTTGAATATTGACAGTGTGAGCCCAGCCCAGGGTTGGTCACATGGTTGATTTGTATTGACTTTGATGAGAGTCAGGACGTTCAAGTTTGACAACTAAGCAGAGGAATGTAAACAGGTAGAAAACAATAGAGCAAAAACAATGATGGACTATTATCATAAAAACAGTATTGGGGGGAAATCAGTCTGGGGTAGGATTTATTGAAGAAAAAACAAGTTGGAGATAAGGAACCC